GTTTTTCTTCGAACTTCGATATTGTAAAAATTCAAAAAGTTCACGCTTTCCTCGGGAAATGCCCTTTTTGTTTAGCGCGTTTTGTGTTAATTTAGTAAGATACAATATTAAAATTCTAGAACGCAATTTTATGTCCAAGAAAGAACAAATGATGTGATAAATCTTAATATTCGACAAATGGGTACATTTGTGAGGTATTGTTACACAGATGTTAGGTGAGATAAATAATAGTATTACATGTAGTAAGAATTATATTGTGACGTCATGATACTCACAGCGACCACAGACACAGAGCTTTCATATAACAAATATATTTATTAACAAAATAACACAAAACAAATATATACACTTAATAATCTACTTACACCCTAGCTCTGATAGACCTACTATCCCTGATCGCGGAGCGATCCAAACCGATTGAAGATGGTTTGATTGTGGCATTCGCACTCCTACTTTTGAAGCGCGCACAAAGCCTAGCTCCGTACCGGATGTCACGCTGGGACACAAAGTCCGTTCTGGCGCACCAACGGCTGGTTTGCCTCGATCGCAGGACGATCTTATCCGATGAGAATCGGCGTGAATCGTGGCACTCAACCCTCTCACCTCGGAGCACGCACACAGCATCGCTCCCCCGTGACCGCAGTCATCCAAGGACCTAAAGTCCGCAGGCTTCGTCAACTAGTGCTCGAGCCTCGCGAGCCTGGCTCGCATATGCACCGTCGTGGCGCCAAGTTTTCTGCCCACGCACGAGGTTCCCACTGTCTCCAGAACCCACCACTGGCTCTGTACACTCTGGTTATATAGGCGAGGCCACGTGACCTACTACGTCACGCCACCCACATCAACAACCCCTACTCCAAACGCTGTGTCTCCCGTTCCGCGTTCTGCCTTTACGGAAAAACCCTCTTCCTGTGGCGAGCTAATCCTCTACCAAGCGTCCAAATAGATGCTATGAGGCACGCTGGCTAATACGTTACAATATGTAGTTAATAATATCACAATAAGTGTATTTTGCACACTATCAGAGAAATGAAAAATTGTTTTTTATCAAGATGTAGTTCACTTGGTACTTGTTTCGA